ATATCATAATAGGAACGACGATGGATCACGGAGTCATCTGGAGTAGCAGAAAAGATGGTGCCTTGGTGATCGTGTCACCACGATGGAGTGCTAACCTTTGGTTATATCTTACCCAGGTAAGCCCCGGTGCATAACCTCTAATATTCTGCACCTTATTTTATACTTGTGCATTAAGTTTTGAGGAGTTGAATGAAACCCACTTATCCTATGAGTCCTACTAGTATGTAAGGATCATGTACATTGCTATGCTATAGGATCCGGTAGAAGTCGAGTGATTACCTGTCACTCGCGAGAGATAGGAAAGATATTATTGTTGTTATTATCATATTACTATCACATGGAATATATATATATCAGGATGATAATTGGAGACTGAGCGGAATGGTACTTTGGATCTAGACTTGGTTAGGCATTCGAGTGAGGCTCAGGTTGCATTTGTTTCGCATGTGTCGATTGAGGACCGTCCGTTGCTGTGGATGGTAGTCATTGAGGACCGTCTGTTGCTGTGGATGGTAGTCAGGTCACAGACATTACAAATGTTCACTATGTTAATGATTCACTATTAACCTTTATTTTCGCTGTAACTCTGATCATATATTGTTCTCCGCTGCAAGATAAAAATGTGAACCTAAAATGTATAAACTCTTGTACAAGTAAAACTGTCTTAATTCTGCTATTGCAGTCAACTCATTTAAGTACTCTAATGTTGTAATAAAGTGGTGTAAGAAATGGTTAAGAATGTTATAAGCTTTATTCTCTCATTTATAATCCTAACGGAAGAATATGGATTTTTGAGTTCTTCCTTGGTGTGTGCTCGACAGAACGACATGATTTAGTGCACTCTCTTGGGTACTTAGTGTCTAATGGAAGACTAGTACTCTTGGGAGGGCATTAGATTAGGCGGTTCTACCACAATTCACCCCTCTAGGCCTTGCCTCAATCCTTTCAATAGTGCACCTACAAAAATAAATTCCTGCTCCACAGTTTGTTGCTTTTAAAGTTGACCATTCGCACCCTCCCCCTCTAGTCGGCCTCCTTGATCTTCCACTCAACCATATTCCACGTCATAGTGCACCTACTATTTTTTCCTCCTCAATTTTAATGCTAGATCCACTTAACTCGTCCTACTTATCATACATGTGGGAAAAGAGTGTAAGGAAAATGGACCCTAGGCCCATTTACTTTAGATTTTGGTGTTTGATGACCAACACAACCAAATTGGACTAATGAATTTGCAAGTAATTATTTTGTAATTCAATAGGGTGCAAGACATGACTTGGACGAAGGCGACATGGTGATCCCACAATCAACACCATAAGCAAGACCCTAGAAGCACAAGAGAAGACACAAGATATCAAGCAAAGTCCAAGCACGAAGATAGAAACCAAGCCGGACGCAAGATCGCGAAGAAACAAGCTCATAGAGGTGACCGGACGTAGCACCGGACGCTGGCGGCATAGCGACCGGACGCTCCAATCAAGAGGCTCAGCAACAGCAAGCGTCGGCAGCAGTGACCAGACGCTGAGGACTAAAACTAACCGAACGCACCTACGGCACTGTTCATCATCCCGGCAACACACTCAGCACTGACCGACGCTGGCGGCTAATCAACCAGATGCAGGAACTACAACGTCCGATCGAGTACAGAGAGGTTCTAGAGCGGCGAAGTTGCGACCGGATGCGTCCGGTGGCATTTGACCGGACGCCATCAGCGTCCGATCAGTTGATCGCGCGCTCTAACGGTCGAGACGACCGGACGCGTCCGGTCAGGACGAAAGCAGCGTCTGGTCAGTAGCAGAAAAGCGGGATTTCGTCCCTAACGCTACTTTCTTAGTGGGGCTTATAAATAGACCCCCCAACCGGCCATTTGAAGTGACTGGAGCTGAGGAAATATACTAAGGGTGTTGATACACCATTTTAGTGATGTTCACTTACATAGTGCTTAGTGATTCATTAGGTGATTAGCGTAGGTGCTTTGCGAAGTGCTTAGGTTGATTAGACCACCGCTTATGCGATTGCTCTAGGTTTAGGCCTAGTGTTTAGTGAGGTTTGCATACCTCTTACCACTCGGTGCTTGTGCACACCATTGTTGTACATTGGAGGGGCTTGTAGTCTTACGAGATCACACCAACCGTGTTTGGAGTGTGGCCGCCACCGTGTACCGGAGGAAACAAGGCCCGCGGCGTTTCAGCCGGAAGCTTGATAGTGAAGATGGCAGGGAGCGGTCCGGGAGAGACTTGCCGGAAGGCACATCGGAGACCCACTTGCGCGTGGGAAAGGCCCGGGGCTATCCACGGAGTTACCCGACCAGGAGCTTGGCCCTTGCGAGGGATTCCTTGCGAGGGGCTCCAACGAGGACTAGGGGAAAGCTTGCGTGCTTCTTGATACCTCGGAAAAAATACCGGAGTCATCGACGGGAGTTTGCATATCTCTACCTTACTCTTTAGCGTCCGCATTTATATTGTTTGCATAACTCCTTTTGCAGTAGAGATAGCAATACACTAGCAAAATCATAGTTGCACATTTAGATAGTTTATCTTTTGCATAGGTTTTACTAAGAATAAAAAAAGAGGCCATAATTTAGAGTTAGAATTTTAGGTTGTCTAATTCACCCCTCCTCCCTCTTAGGCGTCACGGTCCCCTACAAAGAGAAAGAAGTAGGGGAAAGGATGGGGGGCTCCTACTTGTGAGGGGTTAGGGAAGAAAAATTATAGGCCCATCGTCTAGAAATAAGGGTGAGGATCCTGGTTGCACATGGGTTTTTAAAGGTTGGGCATTCAAAAGTAAGGTAGGAGGTCTCTTGAGAGGTAGGGATAGTATTCAGACCCGCAGGGTGGTTGTGGGTACAGGCAAGAAAACTCAACCGCAGATACATGCGAGTTAGGTACCCACGGAGGTGCGAGTCGGCTATAGGTACTAAACTCCGTGGGTACATGCAGTTTCAAACTACATGTGCTGTACATACCAAACCGCATAGCACTAAACTATTTGTGTGCTAGAGAACGCTTCCCCACATCAAGTGAATAAGGATTTGTGTGAATTTTTAGTTTATTTTAGTTCTTGCATTGCGTTATTTGCATGAGCATGAAGCACTGAACTGTTATGTATATGGTGGTTTGTAAGCACTATCTTTGTCCCTGAAAGTGTCATTCTAGGTTTGGCCCAAGTCAATTTTTTTAAGTTTTACTAAATTTATAGAAAATATTATTAACATTTATATCTCCAAAAAGTTTAACTATAAAAAATTATTTCATAACTCATCTAATGATACTTATTCCACCTTACTTCAGGAGGAGCTTTCTTTGACTATTCTTAGGTGCAAGTTCTCTAAGAAACCTCTTCTTAGGGACTGGCTTTTTTCTTTTTAGTTTTCTTGTATTTAGCTTCTATTTTGTCATTTTGTACAGACTTATATCTTTATAAAAATGAGTTCAGTAGGGGTGTTCCCCTCCTGTTTGCCTCAAAAAAATATTAATATTTTTTTATACATGTTTGGTCAAACCTAAGACTTTTTGGCTCCTCAAAAGATGAGAATGGCACTCCTTCGGGAACAAAGATAGTACTATTTGGCGTATACTATCCAAGTGAAGTCTCTATGATGTAATTGAGACACCCCCTCCATCCCAAAATACTTAATCTTATAGGATTCAAATTGTGTCCCAAAATATTTGACCTTCTCACTTCCCAATGCATCTTTCTCTTCTCCTAATACACTTGTCTTTTTCCAATACATCTCTATCTATATTTTTCTCTCTCTCTCTCCTTGTTTTATGTACACCATACCTTTTCACTACTAATTTCCCGTGTTCAAAACTAAAACGTCAAATATTTTGGAACAGAGTGAGTGGACAGATTGTGTTTGATCTGAGCTATGAATTTTGCTTAATTAGCCGCTACATGAGTCATTCCTTGTTGCTAAGATGAAACTATATGTACCAAATTTGAATTATACTTTATTGTTGTGATCACAATGATATATTATTTGATCTGTCCTAAATATACCCACCTGATACCCAACAGGTGCATGCACGAGTACAAAATTTTACCCGTAAGCCTTCACAAAAAATCTTAGCCGTAAGCCTTCGCGGGTGCAGGTACCTCACTTTACCCGACCAATTGGAGTTGCTCCAAGATACATCCAACAAATTAGAATGGCTCGTCAAAAAATGCAAACATCAAAAGACCTAACGATTAGGTGATCTGTTTTTACCCCCTCCGTCAACAGTAAGCAGATTACATGCGGTTAAAAGAGCATCGTGAAAACAAGAATTCAATATAATCAAATAAACAAAACATGGCGATTATCTGAATAATTACTCGCTAGACACAAGAACAGCAATATGAAGCCTCGACAGCTGGGGCCCCCTGGGCTCGAGAAATTCTGCACCATTGTATGTCTGCATCTCCCGGTAGGCCGACAAGACAGACCCCAACCAGCAAGGCAGCAACAAAGCACAGTGCTGTATTGCAATTGCACCACACCAACCTGCAGAGTATCAATACCAAACATTGATACAAAAAGGAAAATGTTATTAACTATTCAATCTGCACATCGCATGCAAATGAGCCACCCTTTTTACTGTTTCAACTTTCATATTCAGCAAAGCCAACGGAATCATTTACATCCTTTACCTCGTTGACTTCTTAACAAATGAACTAGATCTGAGGGATGACTGCTTCCCACCAAACAACTTGGGCAAACAGCTGTCCCTGTTCTAGCATCAATTTCGCTGTACACGCAAAACGGATGCAATATAAATAAAAGAAAAAAAACAAAAGAAACAATCTCCACCATTCACCATTCTGATTAAAATGACATGCTATGCAATTTACATCTGCTTTCACCACCACATGCATCAACAAGACCCATCATCTTCAGCCAATCCAAGGCAAAACCATTCTCAACCCACAGAATGGTAGTTCCTAAAAAGAAGGTAACTGGAGTATTTACATCATGCAGGAACACCTCCTTCAAACTGATAGCTGGTTCCAAGGAGCTGTTACTTCAGTCGGAAATCACGTCTAAATGCTGTCAGGTTTTGAGTGAATCTGTCGCGATTCTTAGGTTCCAAGTTCCTGTTGACATCCGTCATCAGCTTATCGAAGCACTGTGAAAGGCGTCGTTGCTGGTCCACAGTCTGTAAATTAAATTTGCATTAGATCTCTTAAAATAATCACCCATTTTATAAAGCTATTTGGGGCATCCAAAAGAAAGAAAGGTCAACAAATCTCAGCTTTCATTATAATTATATTAGCATTCTTAAGGTAACTTGATTCAAAACCGTGAAGATTGCTAAATGCTAATGGAGCGAAAAAAAGTAGCCCGCTCCCGCCGATATGTTCTTTTATATAAAGCGTACATGCTGAAGGTGATCTGCGATATTATGACACTAGCCCAATTTGTACCATAGGAGCAAAACCAAAGAACCAAGCAAACTATGAGAAGGTCCCGACAAAAAAAAAAAAAGGTGTACCAAAGGCTCTAATGGAATATGGAACTTCAAGCAGAGGACTGCTCTAACCTGTGATGCTAATATGTGCGCTCTGAGTTCACTGAACATCTGTACAAAAAGAAAAAACAAATCAAAATAATAAACAAGCTTAAAAGCATAAAGTGGAAAAAAAATAAGTATTATTAAAATAATAAATAAATGAAGGCACCTGTTCACTGGTCATTATCAGGCTCAATATTGGTCGACTCAGACTCCACTGATTACCAGCATCCTCAAAGAGCATGATCTCAAAAAGTGTCTTCAGTATCTACAGAACAACAAAAAAAGCCCAAGTCCCAAGCAAATTCAGTATCTATCACAAATAAAATACTACTGTATTACTTTGAAACATTTCAGAATATGGTAAACAGGATTTAGCAACAAAACCTGAGGAAACAAATTGGGATACTCTCCAATATGCCGCGCGAGATTTACTGAAGCTGGTGATGGAGGTGAGTCACCAGATGTAATGTTGTTAAAGTAAAAGGCTGCCAGGCTGTCGATGGCAGAAGCGCACTGCCCAAAGGAGATAAACATGACATAAATCAGCCCAAATAATACAATAGCCAGTACAGTTTCAGCCTATATATTTCACTAAACAAATATTATATAATATAGCTTCATCACTCAAGATGGAATATTTGAGATGAACCTGTGTTGATATCCCTGTATCTAGACCTTTTAAGCCAGATTCGAGTGAGCTGACAATATGTATGAATGTGTTCGTGTCCAAATTGAGAACAAACTTGATATGGTTGTTGAACAGAACTTCCATATACCCAAAGTACGCCTTCGACAGCTGAAAAACAATAACTCATTCTCACTAAGGTCAACAGCTGAAAACAATAACTTCTCACTAAGGCTACAGAAGTACAAATGAAACCGAAAAAATAAAGTGTTTAGGTGAACAAAAGAAGTGTGGGTTGACATAAGCTCTGGCCAAGATTCTGGAAGCATAAGACTTGGACCAAACAAAAATTATCTTGCATAGAGGTATCAGATTGTAGTTTTCTAGTACTAGGGTTTAGCTAAATAAATAAATTCTTAAAAGAAATTGAGCTATCGATCCATCATAATTAGCACTCCCAAAAAATGCATAGAAATACACACATAAGGTACTGCTTACTATTACGATATTTGCTTATGTTTCAAGAACCAGAGTTTGAACCCCAGCTTGCACCTATGGTATGACTGACGCACTAACACAACCCTCCTTATGCATGGGGCCCCGTGGGGCCCCGCAAGCAAAATCGTCAAACACCAAATTCAATGGTAAGAGCAGAACCAATTGACCATTTCTGATTACTGAGCAATTATCTCCTAAATTGATTTGCATGCATGTTCCTGCCCACGTTCTCTGTGAGAGAACTTTGATGCATGGAACTAAGTGTTAGACAGCCATATGTGGCTGGTCTGGGTCTGGGCCTTGCGTCCAGCCCTTGTAGCTGCCCTGTGTTGGATTCCTTGTCCAGCAAGGGTGTGGATTGAGTTGTATAAGGTAGGGATACTGGAGGTCGGTTCTGTTTCCATAAGCCGCCCCTATCTCTACCTATATATATGCATGTATCATGTAATCCCATAATCAATCTACTATTATACACTGCATACCTTCTTTCACTAAGCACTAGTATTAAGACATAAATTAAAATTGAATTTATATGAATACCTTTCTGAATGCCAATATATCAGATAATGGAACTGAGAGGGTCATCTTCAGAGATATATCAAGGGCATCAGCAAGCGCTCTGTCACCGTACAGCTCAAATACACCAAAATTGACATAGTTCCCACACAAAGCTGGAAGTTCCGGGTAAAATGGCAGTCAAAAGAACAATACATAATCACAATAAGATTACAAAATCTTAAGCCCACAAGAAATAAATATATAGTACAACTATTGTAAGAAAACAGGTCATAGTACAATCTTAAAAATGTGAAGAAAACTAAGAATCAAAAAGTAGCCAACATTTACAAGATAAGGACCAAGATATATCCCAGTGTGTAACAATTCCTCAGAAACCATCCAAGAACTGGTGATTTACAAAGTTAGCTTAAAGTCTTTGGAATTCGTTACTCATTGCATAAAAAATCAAAAGCCATTTGGGAATGAGAGAGAGAGAGAGAAGCAGCTCTTTTCAACAGTTTTTCGAAGCACGAACCCTAATGAAACAGCCAGCAAGTTTGCAGTTCAAAATGATAATTCAGCAACAGTAACATCTTTTGTTTTTGGGTGGGGTGTGGGGGTTGAACATAAGATGAACCATGTACAAGTGGATCTGGCTCTCTGGCTCTTCGATTGGATGCATGTGAATATGTGATATGTTGACATACTAGAAATGTCAAACCCATAGTGTTTTAATGTTATTATGGCAGTGGCATGTTAGCATTTTTTTTATTTGTGGCTCTTAGGCAGATTAGATCAAATTTGTTAGTTTGTTAGGGTTATCAGTTAGACTTGACGGCTACAAACACCTAGATGTATCATTAGTTGTAATCAAGCAGGAACCCTAAAAGGCAATCAGAGCCTCGGAGGATGGGCTTATTCTTCCTGCTATATTCCATCCTGCCCCAACTAAATCCATATCACTGAACTTGGGAAAATGAACACTACAGTTGAATACAAGAAAGTCTATTACCAAAGCCCCAGCAAATAATCATGTTTCACACTCATGTAAATCAGTGATATCGAGCCTTCTGAAATATAGTACTGATGAATGCAACCAGCTATCCACTATGCTGATGGAACCTATAGTCAACTCACTTGCAGTATATCAAATTAGCAGGTCAAATGACATAATTTTTACTCACCCCTTGAAAGAACAGTCAGTGAGATCCATATGCCTTTGTATTTACTTCCATAAATGTCTGTGCCATTAGGAAGCAATAGAATTCGCGACCCGTAAGCCACGACTATCTTGCTAACCTCTCGGAACAAAAGGATACCATTTGGTGATGATGAATCAAATGTCAGTCTTTGAGCTTTGTTCAAAACAAATTCATACATGAACTTGAGCAAGGGTGTGGTGACCTGCATGAGGTGACATTTAGGGTGACTGAAGACAAATTATGAAACCTCAGGTTATGAGTAGCTAAGTTAGGCTTAGGCAGCATATTTGAGCAAAAACATGCAATAGGAGCGCACGGATATAAAGCTGTTTCTAAAAACAAAGGCTTATACATAATAAAATGCAATATGTGCAGGGGCATAAAATTGTTCTACAGCACAAATTGGGAACAGATGACAACCTCTGGTTCATCCGTGCAGAGTGAGATGGCTCTCAACAGAAGTGGCATGCGAGATGGATACAACCAGTCAAATAGGAGGCCATATGTCTTGCGACTGGATCACATCAGTAAATCAGTAAAGGTAAAGTTAGTTTCAAAATAATAGGGGCTGTAATACCCTCATAATGAACATGATCAGATAACACACCTGTTGGTTGCCATCGCTATGCCACGTAGATCTCTCATCCAGCCAATAAATGCATGCTTAGCGCCATCAGTCCGAAAAGCAGCATCAGGAGTTGCCTCCAGGTTAAATGCAATCTACAGTGAAAAGAGAATAAAAACCACATCAAATTTTAAAATTTACCAATGTTTCTCTCAAAAGGATTATCTACGCACCTGCTGAAGTGGTTCCATGAAAGTCCTGAATTTCACAGGGCTATCTTCCATGAAGACTAAGGAGCCAAGGATGTAATAGAACGTAGTTCTACTACGTGAACATTTGTATTCTGCAAGAAATGAGAAATTCTCCGGCTGGAAGAATATAATAAAAAAGAATTATCTCTAAACTGAGCGCAGGGATGGAAAATAAATAAAAGCTAGTGGGAAGACTTTACAGAATGATTTGCAATGATGAACTTTACACTCTCCAGCTTAAGCAGCAGTTTTCCAGTCATATAGCTGACTTGGCAAGAAAAAAATGAACTGTCATCAATAAATGAGAAAAAGAAAACTGAAAAAAAAAGTCACAACTTTACCCAGTTGCCAGATCAAGGAACAGGGACAGAGTATGATCAATAACATCCTCACTCTGTAACCACAGCAAAGGTCAGCAAAGCTCAAAGGTAAAGCTTAAGCCAAAATCAGTAAATGAATAGTCACCTCAGCATAGCACTTCAGATTTGTAGCAATTTTCCCAACAATCACATTGAGAAGAATTAAATGGTCATTAAGTCCTAGAAGCTCAGACAATCTTCCATACAACTGCTGCAGCAAAGAAGCATTGGTTTATGGAATCTAACAAGCAGGTACATCTGCCACACTTGGCCAAATATTAGCAAGAAAATGTACAGGGAAAATTTTAGCAACCATTGGCAATAGTGCCAATTTTTTGCAGGGCTGGTTCCGGCATAAACCAAAAGAAGCCCATCAAAAGAGAAAATAAAAGAATAATTGTTTATTAACCTTTGAAGCATGCATGGCTTGGTCTCCTACATATGACCTTCTGAAACTTTGTACAAAGACGAGAATAGCTCGGTCAAGCCTTTGCTTACTTAATTCTTGATATCTCTGCAAAGACAATAAGTCAGTTATTGTTCACACAATGAACCTGCGACAAGACTACCAATTCCCAGCGGTTTCTTTGCAAGCAAAGGTTTGTAGTATTTTTGGTCATCTATCAATCATAATTTTGAGCAATTAGTCTGTTATTAGGAATAATGCTACTGGTAATCTGTTATAAGAGTAAAATATACCAAAATACCAGCGTGCTCCCCAAACTTTGAGGGGGTCATCTAGGTCCCTAAACTATTAATATGCATTTTATGACTCTCAACTTGTTAAATGATCCACCTTGGGTTCAAAAAAACAGTGGTAAATTTTCTGCTGGTGACGTGGAAGCTAACAAGACATGCTATAATGATGTGGGCACTAAGGGCGTGTTTGCTTGTGATCCTGGAAAACCTGCCAGGCACAGGCAGGTGCTCCCAGGCGCACGATTTGCTGAGCCTGGGGTCTCAATTGCTGCCTGGCAGGCAGCATCCCAACAGGCCCCTAACGGCGTGAACTAGAGAGAGGAATGAGGAACAATATGACATTAAGGTCCCACCACAGTTTAATGGCATGTGGTGTCTGGCGCTAGCGGTGATGTTGACATGATGAGGTGGCAAAATAAGGTGCCATGGATGACAGTACATGGCACGTGGCAGACTAACAAGGATTGTTAAGGCTTTGGGCCTTGGGTGAACCACTTTTAGGGGCATATAAACTGCTAATTGATAGTTTGGGGACCAACATGACACCCACGGACAAGTTTAGGGACATCTGTATTCCACTCATTTGTCAAAATTGTCCCATAATATATGATGAATCATATTAGAAAAATTGCCAATCACTCGCTCAAGAAAATAACGAAGAGCACCAAAACTGTTCGCTAGCAAGGGAAAGCGAAAGGGCATCTAGCTGAGTTAGTTCGACTCCCCATGAGAGCACATTTTCAGGCTGAGGTTAAAAAAATCCCATCGTCTGTCCCAACGCCGAAGCACAGGTCTAAGGTCTGGCCCCGGTCGTGGTTGTTCTCACATGGGCTACGGTGCCGCTGCGTATGGGTGGGGCAGGGGTTCAGGGGTTTTCTCGACCTGTGTGAGAAGGTCTTCTTCTTAATGCAATGCCCGGAGACTGTCTTATCCCCCCGCAGGTCCAGTTTTTTTTTTATAAACAAGGGAAAAGGGAACAACAAAACAGAAACCATATGCAAGATCATCATTTTCCATAACCACAGCAAGCAAATGTTGATCAATACCTTAGTTGGGATATCACAAATTTAAGTTCCAATGCTCTTCTCATAACAGAGCTGACAAAAGCTTAGATTTAAAGGCAATTTACAGTTGCATGGCGTTTTGTTCCATATTGCCAAACCTAGATAGTACAGCAGTCTGTACTATATCATTGTAGTATCTTTTGCTATTATGGATCCAAAAGATGCATTAAACTAATTGCTGTATCCAAAAGTATAAGTGTCCTTTTGAGCCACACGATGCCAAATGGAGCTTTAAACTTAGCTCCCAAATTGGTAGTGTAAAAGCATCCTTATGGTTATCATCTCAAAGAAACCTACTGACCACGAGGCCCGCAAAAACCTAACAACCCAATGTGGATGCACAAATATAAATGTACTCTATAGCGGTAAGTGAATCCATCAAGTAAAAGAAACATTATTTCCTATAATGTAGGGTGCTTGCTTTTGGAACAAACAATAATAAGTCGATAAAAGGAGACTTGAAAGGATGGAATATACCCAAAGACTTAGCCTTAAATAGGAATGCTTGGAAGACAGCTATTCACGTGCCTGAACCTTGATTGTTTCTGTTGGGTTTCAACTCTAGCCTACCCCAACTTGTTTGGGACTTAAAGGCTTTGTTGTTGTTGTTGTTGTTGTAATAATAAGTCGAAAGTTCGAAAGCCATCTTGAACTGTAGTTTGCATTAATTACGTAATAATTCACATAACTACGAGTAGGCTGGACATCAAATGGAAAACTAATAACAAAAATGTCATTTCTGCCATTCTGATCAAATTCATACAATTCCGATGGGAAACTGAGGGGAAGGTGCCCACAGAAAAATGCTAATTATATGTACCGAAAAGTTTGAAATAACACATTTTGCATTACTGCAATTCCAATTTTTCAAGTGAATTGATAAATGAGTTTATATCATGTTACTGGCAAAATAATAAAGCTGTTAACCAGTTAAAGTTAAACAACAAATTGTCACAGTAAGAGGATTGTTCGACTCTAGACACGTGCTTACTTTCTACATTAACAAATAATTCTCAGGGGAATTATTCATCCTGCGAATACACTAGCTCATTATTCATGTTCAAGTGTTGTTCGAGAAAAATTATTCATGTTAAAGTGGATAAATCAGTTTCATCTAACCTGTGCGTGTGCTCCTGTATCAGTCATACTTATCAACTGCAGTACACGGGCAGAGAGTTCTGCATCAATTAACTCTTGTGTTTCTTGGCTGCAGAACATGGAAAATCTCATCCATGAAAAGCATATAAAGAACAAAGTTTACAAAATAAGAAAAAAAAATATTGCTCACCTAGCACCTGTTACCTGCCTAACTTTGACAATGGCCGCAATTATGTGAACCATCCATGCGATTTGGCCTTCAATGACAGACAGCTCATCAGCATCACCAGGAGCTGGTAATCTGGACCTTTCCTGTAGTAGATATTTATTTTTTAATAGAATTATATTTATATTAAAAAAAAAGATTGTGTGAAACAACACAAACATACCGTATAAGCTTGCAGAAGAGGTTCCATGATGTTTATGATGTACAGACTACTACTTTGGTACTGCAACTCGTTGAAAGAAAAGAAGAATCAGGTACTGTAATATGAAACATTTGTAGGAAAATATTATATTCTGAAGTCGAAAAAATAATAAGGGGTCTCATTTATCCAATTGGTAGGAAGATTACTTATAATTTTTTGCTGATTTAATTAACTAAAAATTATCCATATAAAGTTAACACATACAAATTGCAGGCAAATTTACTATCCAGATTCAGAAAATTTTATTTAGCACCATTTTCCTAAATAAGCAGGAACAGAGCATATCTTTTACAGGAAGATCTCAAACTAATCAATTAAAGATGTAAATGATCTTATTCCCTACTGTATTCAAAGAAGAGAACCAGATGAATAGTTTTTAAAACACCAAAAACCAAAATTAGGTAACAGAAACCTGGAATCTGCAAAGGAAGGGAAGAAACTCCAGCTGGTCCTGGAGAAGTTCCACACTATCCAAAGGATTTTCCAGTGAGTTGTCAGCAAGGATGGCCTGAGATGGGTAGAAAAAAACAAATGATAAGAATGGTACGAAAAACTTTTTTTAAACTGAAATAGGAGTAGAAGTATCTTGTATGAACTAATACCTGAACAGAATTGATTCTAGAAGTGATAAAACCCTCTGTGATCTTGGGAACAGTTTCATCAAGAAGACTTGGTGTTTCGCCTTTCAAGTAAGGCACGGATGTCACCAGCCTTGACCAAAGACTTAGAAGATAGTAGACACTGCTGCTGGCCCACTACAGAAAGAAAAATCAATAGTCATAAGCCTCACAACATCATATTTCAGAAAACAAAAGCCCAGCAGTCAAGCAATAAGAATAAGACAAACCTGCCATGACAACAAGGATCTAGTTGTAAATTCAGCTACTAGACCAATCCATTCACCATAAAACTCAACATTCAGAAGCTCTGCCAGCTGCACAGCACAATAACGTAACTAACATATAATGATAAAAGGGCTCATTTCTAGCATAGGCTAGTCAATTATAAAGAAATATGGCAACTCCATCAGCAAAAGATCTACACACATGAAGTTATTTATCTAGTATTATTGTTAACAAATGACAACAGTCAAATATAAACCGAATCATCTGGTAAATGTTGTGGACAATTCTGAGGATGTCGAAAAAGAATAACAGAAAAAGTAAAGGAACAAACATAGAACAGTTTGATTGATGCTGCTTTAATATGATCAATAAATATAAGGTACATAGTTGTAACAGAAGAAATTTCCAAATAAAAAATAGGTGTGGGTGTGAGTCAGTCCTCACAATTTTTTAACATTATACAGTTTCATAATGTAATACCTTAAATTCATTATTTTGCACTTCAGACCACACCAGGGGGTATTCAAGACATTTTTGGATAATATGGGGGTTATTTAGGTATTATTTTGATTTTTTTTCTACGAAGCTTAATGATAAGAAATGACAATACCAAAAAAAAAACATTGCTAGTTGGTATTGACAACAACATTTGAAAAAATAAAACTAGAATAGCCTCCCAGTTAAGAACAGTAATTTTGGTACGAAGTGTCCATGAGGCAACGAAAGTTCACAAACAAAGGTCCCAAAAACAATGTCAAGCATAACACTTAACACATTTCCTCATACATGAGGTCACCATAGGAGTAACAGTACACTGCTAGTGGCAAAGAAGAGAAGGATTGTCAATATATTGTGCATGTTCCATCTATTCCAGTGATGTTTTTATATGGCTACTAAATAAACAGCAACAGTAAACAATAGCAGTCACGCCAATAAGCTGTAACATACTAATATATTAGCATAACCAATTAACTGGTTCTTTTCATTCGTATAAAACTAAAAGATTAGGAAAAATTACAAAAAAAAAAAACAATCAATTTCAGAAGGGTGCCAATTCTCTTATTATACTAGGAGCCTAGACCTTATGGTTTGCACCACAATAGGTGTGTGTTTGATGGGGCATCTCCTAACCTGGCTAGAGATCTTCAGCTAGCTAATGAGGGGCTGCATTTGTGAGGTTTGGCTGAAGCGCAAGGCATTTCTTACCTCTTTGCGCTTCAGCCGGACGACAGTGGAGTTTAGGTCGTGGTTGTGTGTTTTTACCCCTTTGACATGTGTAAATAAAAAAAAAAAAGCTACCAAGCAACACAAATACTTTGTTGGTCTATTTCCTATCACATGCTAAAATGAAAACAGATAATCATTAGAGAAAAAACGAAAACAGATAAAGAGAATATTTGTTGCCAAAACAGCAATAAACCAAGTAGGGTCATTCTTCATTCAAGTAACAGGATTGCAACTTATACAGGTCCTTATAAAAAAACTAAAAGTATTTTTTAAACTCTAAACCGTCATAATTTCACTGCTATGAAATAATGAAATTCAAGCTATGTCCATAGCGAAAAAGGAACAGGATTGCAACCTGGTAATTCACTTTGAAACGTCCCAAAAGACGGCAGAACTCATGGTAATTGTCATGATCAGCAAGTCCTGCAAATTGGAAACCAATAAATTGCATAACTATTTTGCCTGCGTCAGTGCATCAAGAAACTTATCTACATGGTAAGAGTAGCAACTGTAAGCATATCAAATCAAAAGACTTATCTGCTAACAAGTTTGCATTCTCTTACAATACACAATGTGGTTGTGGCAGTCAATTTATCCAATTAACAGAAAACAAGATTATTACTTCATGTACAATGTCTTCAATAGAGATCATTATGCTTTTATTTTAGCAAAAGAGACTATTATTCTCATTAATCTGTGAAAATGGTGAGAGGAACACAAAACCAGCATCAAATACAAATTCACAATGAAAAATCTGTGTAGTAAACCTTGTCCAGTTAGAAGTATCTCCTTGGTGCCTAGCATCAGATGAGAAAGAAACAGGGACCTTGCAGGATCCTCCACAAAAATACTGCGCCTGACAGAAGCAAGTCGCACCAGACACTCCAAAGCCTGGAAAAATCAAAGGGTTTGCACATATAAGTACAGAAGGAAAAGGAAGAGAAAAATATATGAAAGGTTAAATGCAGGTATAACTTAAGGCACTAGCCAGAATAAATTTCTGAAGCAGAGATTAGTCAATGTTAAATTTACTAACAAAGGACGAAAGAACATACTTCTAAGAGAATACGGCAAACATTATAAAAAAAATTTGTTGCTGCATGTCGCAGCAAAAATTTAGAGTTCTTGAGCAAGAAAAAACCCACTAAGAATACTAAATTAGCAGGCTGCCAGGTTGCATTAATGACCAAGCCACCTCATAAGAAGGTAAATAGTGATTGATCTTCAAAAAGGTAATATAGTGATCGGTCTCTAACAGGATACTAGAAATACACTGAACCAACCATAAAAATAAGATTATACTTTAATAACTTCGCTAACATGCTAGAGAAAATGTCGTTCAGGATCCATTCTTCACAGGTTTATCGAGGGCATAAAACTGTCATAATTCTGTGCACACGAACATGGACAAAACAAGGTAACTCTTTTCAAACGTGGAACAAAACAAAACTCTCTTGTTATTAATAAATTACCCAAATCATCATGTCAGTGTATACCTCTTTTGAAACTCGTATGTCATTGACTTTGTAGTAATCAAAGAAGATTTGGAGTGTGGAAGGATCTTGAAGAAGAGGCCTCCAAGATGCAGGAAGCTGCACCATAATAAAATATTCAATTATTGAATAAAAGAAAGAGATTAAGTGTGGTACAATGACAGGTTAATCAAACGTAAGAAGCTAACAATCATGTAACTGATATACCTGCACTGTTCCAAATTCTTCAGAGCTTTCGTCCACCGGAGAACCAACAAAGTCAAATGATAAGCACTTTAATGCAAGGTCAAGAGGAATATGTCCAAATTCATCCGGAGCTGAAGTATAAGGGAAAAATATTAAGAATTGCAATAATCTACTAGGAAAAAATGCCAACTAGACATCTTGTGCATACCTTCACTCTTCAGTTGGTTAAGTGAGGTTAATGATATTTGGAAGACCTGCAGAAGAAACTGGTCCTTGAATGAACTCGCAATTTTCCTATGAAGTGTCGAAGGCATCGCAAGGTTTGGCTATATGATAAACAACATATAAACATCAAATTAAAACGGGTATGATAATTCAAATGTACTAAAAAAATGAAGTCCGAAATAAAACCTTGATTGGAGGTGAAGTTAATTATATGAACCAAAAAGCACAAGGTCAGTCTGTAAATGTATACACTAGTACATTACATACTAAGAAAACTCTCATTCAAGAGATGTGTTGTTTCCAAAAAAAAAAAAAAAAGAGAGAGAGAGAGATAGCAAGTATGGACACCGCTACAGTTTACCTCCATATTAACCAAGCAACATGTGTTACTCTTCATGTTAAGTAGGAAACAAGCATATTGGAACTATCTCGACAAGTTCATCAGCAACAGACACACAAGGTCTTCACAACAGACACAATTATAAGACAAAACAGAAGTACACAAAGAAACAGAGAAAAGCCTTTTGTGTGTCCATTTGCATACATGTTAATAAGCCAATCACACGTAGACATATTTAATATCCCTGCTTCTTAGTACTAACATTAAGATTATACATGATGTTCAATTGCATGGTTCTAGGTGCAACTGGTCTTGCATGAATTCATTCCACAAGATAGTGTATATGTTGATCAGTTGTGCTTGTGCATAGTCAGCATTATGTATGGTGGTCAAAACAACCATTTCATTTTTTTTCTATGACGGTATGTCCACGCAACATGAGCAAACAACACAAGTTGCAGCCTGGTAGAACCAACCAATCAACATTATTTTTGAAGCAACGCTCGGTTAAACTTTAATCTATCCATGTTTGAATCAAAATAAGACCCAAAATTGAAAGGGAACTATAACCTATGGAGCATATACTGGCTTCACAAATAATTGTGTCTCACCTGATTCATTTCTGTAACGAGATTGTTTAGTATCTTCAAGCCTATGAAATAATGATCCTGAGATGCCTGAAATGATGTAGGCACAGCCAACAAAGATAAGCAAAATGCATCATGTCGCATGCAAAAGAACTTGGAACCAAAAGTATACCATCTCCAGTAACAAAGACTTGTCACTTTGAACACATGGTCTCCAAAATTGTATTTACAAGACCAATACAATTGTAACATTATGGAAGTTATTCCCATGACAAACCTAAACATACGATATGCATGGTCTCAAGTACAAATATTTCAGAAATTAAAATCTTCTGACAATTGAAATTTTGGAATTTTGGCTGCAGGCATGTCCAAAATGACATCTGGCGACAGGAGGGAGTATAATATTGCCACAACTGCTTCATTTAAATATTCATTAAACAGACTTGCTTCAGTAATTACTAATGTAGCAAAACAGTAAAGATGCCTATGTTTTAGCTTAAACACAAAACTACAAAAGTTTTACATAATATAATAAAAAAAAAGCTCTCTTGTTACTCCATTCTTCTTCTACAAATGATTGAGGTTTCTATATGCCAGGGCACCCAGTGCCATTGAGGTGTGCCTGGACACATAGGTGCTGTCACCTGCAGGCCCCAAGTGTGTTACTGTTCACAGGACCAGTAATCTAGCCTTATAGCCAGTGTGGCTAATTGTTGTCTTTAGTTAGTTAGGAATTAGAAGATTGGATAGCAAGGATAAGATTAGTTCAGATCTATCTCAGGGGTTTCTTACCAGTAGAGATAAGATTATATTTGAACTGTTCGGGCCATGCTAGCTTTATAAAAGGAGCAGCTGGCAACCATTTTGGGGAAAGCAAAAAGAACATCAATCTATTAGGCTTAGCCCCTTCTACCCCTGCCCTTGTGCTCCGCTGCCAGCTACCGGCTGCCTGACGTCGGGCTGCTTGGCTTAGGGCCATCCAGATCAAGGTTCATGACACGTGCCATCTAGACAATGCCTAGGAAATATAGTGTAACTAGAACCTTGTAGCGCGTTCTGTCGCGCCACCACGCCAGGGGGTACACCTGGACACTTAATTGTTGCCTCATAAATCAATGCGCTTAACAGACAGAACAGTTCATTTACAAGTAATGTTCTCCTGTTTAAAGGGCAAAGATAGATGTTCTCAAATCGCTATGCAACTGTGCATACAATCACTGTAAGAGACCATTAATCTGGGAGAGACTCTTATGTCGTTATTAACTGGTCCCTTACAGACTGGTGGAAGAAAAAAACTAAACAAATTTAGAGAACAGTAGAAGAGATATTTATTGGTGTACGATAACAACCTATTCTAGCACACATTATCTTAACATGTGTATGTGAGATAAAAAACATTTATGGAAAAACAGTGGCGGTCTATATAAAAGATGACAAAAGGATGCAGAAGGTATAGACGTATATAGTATAATGAGCAGCAATGTGACTGTAGTAGAAAGTTTACAATAACCTCGGAAAAACTGAAAGGAAATATTTCTTTTTCCGTGAGATGAGGGTTCCATCAGAAAACAAGAAGCCTAGTTTGAATAGTTATGGTAACAGTACATCAACGATTGGATCAAGTTACTCCATAAAGGATTTTAACCTATATAAATAGCATAGAAAAAATTCCTATCTAAGTTTCAACTGAAATAGCAACTTCCAAATTTTACTGGCATATTTGGCACAGGATCTTACAACCTGCTTCCCATATGGAACTTAGACCATTAAAATGGATATCACCAGGAATACAAAATTGAAACAACAGATTCCCTGATAAATTACTAACAAATTATCAGAGTTCTTAATAATACCGCTCAAGTGCTCAATGATTTCTTCCAAGGCTTAACATGAAGTCATGAACAAATTCATGTATGACCTCTAAGCATGCAACAACAGCATGGGTCCAGTAGGGTAGAAACAGTCTGTATTTTCCTTACAAGTTACATTTCTCTGTGTTCAAAAGGTTAAAAAGTTCAAACAACTCACTGGATCCATGTGTATAGAAACAGGAATAGTGTCTGCAGATTTATATGATGCAAATAGCTATCTTGTGAAGTTTAATTAATTTCAAAAACAGGTTTCAGTCATCGAACTGGCAAGGTCTCATGTGATGACAAAACTCTTAAATACGTGACAAACAATCAGAGAATTCTTATCTCAACACATAAAGCATGCAAGACATACTTACAAGACCTAAGAAATCAGTCGCTTCCTTGACAGTCTCTCTGAATCTGTCATCATCAAACCATCCAAATTTTGTAATTCGACAAACCAGCTGAATTAGGGACACAATGACAAAGTTCTGCAATTTAGGCCCCCTTGTGGCAAGATAGTTTATGACATAATTCCCTTCACACAGATTACAAAAAAGGTTAGGTGTAAATAAGCAACAAGAGGTATACAAAAGCATGTAAGAAACAGACACAAATACTAATTTCGTCTATGATGACGCATAAAGAAGGAAAAAGTCCATATTACTCCCTCCAAGTTTGGCCTATGTCCAAATAACCCCCCAAACTAACATTTGGTTCAATTTACTCCCCTCCAACTATTTAAGTTGGTCCAACTAACACCTTAAAGAGTTTTTTCTTTTTTGGTTTCTCTATGTACAAATTATATTTTAGTTTCAAATTTTGTGAGGTGATAGAGGACATTGTATTTTGTATTAGAAAAATGCACTATGAATTTTTCATCATTATGTTTTATACGATATTGTACCTCCAGTGTTAATTTATTATTAAATTTCCTAAGCTATCAAAATAGTGGCAAAAGTTAAGATATATTTTTCTAACATAACTTGTGATGTTCTCTATCATATCACAGAAGTTGATATTAAGACTCAACAAATACGTGGAAAAACAAAAATAACAAACTATGTTAAGGGGTAAACTAGACCAACTGAAATAGTTCGAGGGAGTAAATTGAACCAAATGTAAGTTTACGGGTAATCTGGACATATGCCAAACTTAAGGGGAGTAATTTGAACTTTTTCCCATAAAGAATGATAAATGGAAATAGTTATCTTTCCAGCAACGTCATGAAAGCAGACAAAGAAAACTTGAGAATATGAAACTATATAATTTACAATCTTTAGATATGTCACGAGTATAAGGAAATGAGTCTAGAAGAAATAACAAAAGCTTATTGAAAATTACATTGAGACTACTCTGTATGATTGCATGCTGCATACGTCACAGGCTCACAGCTCATATTTATTCAACAAATAGAGAGACATAAATGTTAAAGCAGATGCAACTGAACAGAAACAACACAGCTAAATTTGATAAACATAAAGGGATTTTAATGCTAAAATGCCACATGGATGCAACAGAACAGAAACAATAAAACCTTAACTTTAGATGATGCCATGCAATAAGTGTACAGAAAGAAACATTACGTATATCGAGACGGAGCTTCAAAGAAAGACTGCGGTCGGAAACTTGCTTCAGCAAGCTTGAACTCGCCAGCATCAGGGCATATGGAGTTGAGGCATTGTCCAATATGTATTGGCATTGCGAAATGTACTCGCTATTCTCTGAGAAGCACTTGAGGGTGCTTTCTGCATGCACTCTCTCAGCTGAGTCTCTAGAATTATAAAGCTTTTCACACAACACCTCTAATTGCGCTAGGCTCTCCATTGATGACATGAAAATGAAGCTTCGAGTTTGCAGTTGACCAAGTATCCAAGATTAATATGCCACCAGGTTCTGAATTAGTATCCACGAATTTGCATGAATGCTTGTCACAAGCACCGAATTAATGCATTAGGTATTCGGTTGAATAGGAAACTTGTAAAGCACTGTAAGGAGCTTAGAAGCTAAAATATGTGATTCTAGCATAGGATGAAGGATTGTCACAGTACATTCATATTACAGGAGAGAAATATTTGAACAAAAGAGTTCTCTCATGACAATCTTTTCAATGACGCTTAATCAAAGACACAAGACACAATATAAACAGCTAACGAATGCTTATATCGCCAATACCAGCCCCAATTCAGCCTGGGTTACAGTGATCTGCAAGAATGGAAATGCCAAACTTAGCGACCGCCAAACCAGCAAAACAATAGCATAATAACAAAACAATGGTTGCTTTTAGCTTCATTTGCTAAGCAATTCCACTTGATGACACATACAAACATAGTTACAGCAATCTACGTGATACCATAATAATCAGCTAACAATAGCTGCATTTGCTGAGCCATTGTATTTTGTTAGTTCATGCAATAATGATAAAATCTGAACAGGTACTGCACAGCATAGGTAAAAGACTATTTATAGCAACTTAACAGGTATCACATAACATAAGAAAAAGGGATAAAGGAAACATAACGCAGGGGGGAAAAAGGATCAAAGCGAGTTATGTGCTGCTCTATTTGATAGGGCTCCCCTACATTCCGGCATACATATAAACACACAGCACAACAAACAATGAGTTAATCAAAAAAATACATGCTGCATTCCCCTAAACACTGGATAGCCTGTCATCAAAGATCAGGTTGCATAATTCTAAAAAAAGATCAGGTTGCATGACATGGAAATCGCTCTAGGATGATGCTCATCCCAGGGTGGAACCATGCATGGAAATCGCTCCAGGATGATGCTCATCCCAGGGGCAGGGGCGGATCCAATAATTTTTGCAAAAACTTCGAAGTTAGGGGCTTGTCAAATAGCTATATAGCTTTAGGTTAGGGTTTCGGTGCTCAGCTTCGCACAGCATAAGGGAAGGGAAGAGAAGGGATGGGAGCACCTGGTGCCCTGGTGGGTGCTCGTCGCCGGGCGCCGGCAAGACACCAACGAAAGCCTCAGCACCTGGCTTAGGGCGGCGGCGGCGGCGGCGGCGTCTGAGAGCGAGAGGGGAGCGAGAGAGAGAGAGCGAGGAGGGATGCAGTGGACGGGGGAAATGTAGGTTATGCATCGACGGCGAAAAAAAAAAACGGACGGGCTTCTTGTGGGCTGTTTTTTTTTTCTAGTTTCCTGTTTTTTTATTTTTCTTTCTCTCCCTTTTAATTTTTGTTATTCTTGGTGATTTCATATCTATTCTCTTCATTGGACACTATCAATGGCTAGTACAACATTTGTTTTAAATAACAGAAATTTCATATCTATTCTCTTCATTGAACACTATCAATGGCTAGTAAATATATAGTGCATTGTAAATAAGTAAATTGAACTTTTTAAATTTTATTAAGGTTGAATATTTTTCTATTGAAGCTAGAAGCCATTTTCACATGAACATATACCAATTTCACAAACCAAGAAGCTATAACAACATTTTTCTAAAATAAAAACAATTTTCTCTTTGTGACAATGTCCCAAGTGAATATTAAATATTTCTTTGCTAAACATGGAATAATAGTTCCCATGAACTAGGAACATTGCTATCATCGATAAAAAAATGGCATGAACACATTAAAAGAAATTTACATGCTCCAACAAGAACTGATAAAGAGTACTGACACTTCAATATCTCAGTGAAAAATTTGAGTCTTCCTAGCACTCTATTTTCGTTTTATAATGTACTAAGGATTTTTATACTGTAACGGGTTTAAAGATTAGGTTGCAAAATACTTTTGTGTGTTGGAATAGTCACACTTTATCAACCTTAAATAAATTCGGCTAAGCGAGTGTTTATTATCCGCAAGACACAAATAAAGTAGAGGCACATAGTGGCGCAAGTCCACAGAAAAACTCCAACCGAAAACAAAGATATACAATTGTTATCAGGCAAGAGAAAAAAGGTTTGACATGACAGAATATGAGTAGAAATAGTTTGACTATAAAAACAATTATGCGTTCGGAGAAAAATAATATTGTACAAATAACAATGATGCATAATTAATAAATTAGGAATGTTGCCACTCTTACATGACACTAGTTGTCCTTTTATGGGATAATAAATGGTTTTTCTATAGGTAGAACATTTTTTTGCTTACCCCTTTGTAGTAAAATATTTTTTCCAGGGTTAGAAACAACTTCTAGAGTAGAAAAAACAGTATTTTATTAAGAGGAAAGAAGTATTCTCATAATAGAAAAAGTTAAGTGTAACCCATTTGCCTTCCTAGTATCTTATGGAATAGGAAACTTCTACATGAGAAACTTTCACATAAATGACGAGTATGCATAAGACATAATTATCATACTTTAGACAAAAGAATACTCTATATCTGGATATTTTGCAAGAGAAATATCTAGGAATAGATAAACTCAAACAAGATTCTAAATGGAATATTCTAGATCTAGATCTTATGTGTAATGAGAGATATCTAGATAAACATGAGAGATATTCTAAAATGTAAAAAAGTGTAGAAGGTTGCCACCATATAAAGCCATAAGTACATAGATAGACTTGAGTGTTCATTCCATACGTATAGTCACCGGTGAGTTATCAAAAGTTATGAAAGTAGCCATCGCATATTTAGTGTAAAAATACTTCATAGTTATTTTAAAGTTTATATATATATATAGTCTTATTTAGTAGGAGTTAAAAGTTTGTTTATAATGATCTAGACATGGTTATGAATAAAATAAAAGGGAAACACAACCAATATCATAATAATGCATCTGCCACTACTCAGGGTGGAACCAGCTAGTCAATGGGGGCTTGGGTTGAAGTCGATTTTACTTTTTGGTGTGTGTTGGCATTTCTTAGCGTCACTACCCGGAATGTATCCCCGACAACGGCGTCAGAAAGCTTATTGGTATTTGTTAACACAAATAGATGAATCCGCAAGCGCACGGATACTGTTGTAGTTTTCACCCAGGAGTATTCCAGGGTATTGTGTTTATCCACAGGGAAGCAATGGTTAAAGAAGTTGATAGTTAACCATCATGTATCTAGTAACTAGTATACCGACTAGACTAATGTGGGGATAAGTGAAAAGACAGGAGTTTTGGATAAATGACACACACAGGAGCACTCCATGGTAAGATAGAAGAGTAGACAAGTTAAGATGGGAGGACAACGGGCGAGTTTAAAGTTCCTTTATATTTCTCTATTACTATGGTTCCAATCTAGCACAGACCAAAGATGATAACTAAGCCTAGGTCAGACATAGCGATCTCACCGTAACACTTCGGGACATCAGAACACTAGCCGCGAACAGGGATGAGAAGGGGGCTAGGAAGCTCCGACTATGGTCCTGCAAACACCAACCCAAATGTGGTGGAATACGACGGTTGTCAGGGCTGTCACCACCTGGGGCTACCACAGCTATCCGAGGGGTTGGGTGCCATCTCAGGTAACCTTTAAACTAGACACCATGTCTAGCCTATCAATTACTACTCTAGTCACGATCTGTGACTAGAGTACTCGATGCGAGTGGAGATTCCATGCTAATGTGTAGACAACTATATTTACCACGCTTAGCTAAACACTAAGGCATAACTAGATAACCAAGATAGACATTCAAGTAATTAGAGAATATAAATATATATATTAAATACTCGAGTCTTACAAAGGTATGATAAAAATATTACCAGACCTCCGAGGACTACTCTGGAACTTGAGCATATCTCCCTAACTCCCAACAAGGCTACTCTAATTCTACATCTTGAGAGTGGTGAAGTTGCTCCCTTGAGGTGTGTGTTGGGAGAGGGGGGTTGCTCCTCTATTTATACACAGTTTGAGGCGGTGCTGGAGATTAAATTTAGCGCGAGCACCGGTCTTCACCACCTCTGCATGCCCTCATGCCACCGCCAGATGAAGGGGTGGCAGAGAGGCGCCGGCAGGGGGTCACCCGCCCCTAGGGGTCGGCCGCCCCCTGACCTAGCCCCCTCACCACCGCCTTTGCGTGATGGGTTGGTGCTCGGTCCTGGGCTGCTCCTTGGTCGGTATTATGCCCAAATTGTTGTCCTGGATGGGCCTCTTTATTTAGCCTTTGCATAAATCGGCGTCGGAAAGTGTCTTTCGGTGTATTCTCCCATGTATTTGTGTTTATGTTCTGCAAAACAATATTCTCCAAATACATGTGAAACTAGGTCCATTATAATTCCTATTACTAAGTTTGGTGTTTATATGAATGGATTTTATGCGGGGATTGGCGGTTAAATTTATGCATTAAGGACCGCCAACAAGCGCCCCCACACTTGCTCTTTGCTCGTCCTCGAGCAAAGTTATGTGTAACTATGGATCATGACTTCAAAAGATATGATGCTAGCATAAAAGTTATTCATGTCATTCCTTATACCTGTGGATTTTTGAAGTGTCTACCATGTCGTCTTGAGTGGTTGAAAAGTGGAACGACTGTGACATCAAGTCATCACTTTCCCTCTATGAAGCATAATTGGAGTTTTTGTATTTTTGAAATTGAAAGCATAGCGCATACTTCTCCTCAAATTGTACTCTCAAGTCACTCAATGGTGTATATATCCTTACCAAAGGCTTTTGAAATTGCCTTCTTTTTCATTCTGTATCTAAAAAGGCTTATGTGGAGCTTTGGGTAGGGATGAATAGAGAGGCATACTTGCATCACATAATATTGCTAAGTCAAAAACCAGACCCAAGGAGATGCAAGCCATACACTTTGATCAAGAAGTGCAAGTGTGTGGAATTTTAAAGTGATTCCTAATTCTACATGTTCTTGTACTCCTTTGATCATGACTTTCTTTCTTTTTGATAATTGCCTTGGAAGTATGGG